TGGGGGTCAGGATGGGGCCCTGGGCACTATGAGCCAGTCGGAGCTGGAGAAGCAGCGGCAGGTGAGGGCTGGGTTGGGGGGCTGAGCTGGGGGGCTTGGGAGGGTGTGGATTGGCCGTCTCCACCTGTGGGTTGTCCCTGGGATATCCCTGTGTGTCCTGTGTCCTGGCCTTGACCCCAGCCCTGCTTCTACTCCTGGTCTTCCTTCCAGCTGAGCAGCAGCAGGGACAGTGTTCCCGGGGCAGCTCTGCACACCCCCATGCCTGGGAGGTTCCTCACCTCCCCCATTCCTCCCCTTTGGCTTGTTAGAAAGCAGGAGAGAAGCTTCCAGAACCTCTGGAACCCTAAGCTCTGTGGGGGCTCTGGTGGGAGGTATCCCTGCCTGTGCTGGGGTTTGGATCTAGATGATCCTTAAGGTCCCTTCCCACACAAACCACCCCACGATCCCGTGATTCCACGGGCGTGGATTGGCAGGACCAAAACCATCTCCACGTGTGGGATTGTCCCTGGGATGAGCTGCTCTGGTTCCTGTCTCTCCACTCTGGGTCCTAACTCGGGTCTCTGGCAGCGCCAGCGGCTCCGGGAGCTGCTGATCCGGCAGCAGATCCAGCGGAACAGCCTCCGGCAGGAGAAGGAAAGTGCAGCAGCTGCTGCCACCTCCTCACCGGCCACCTGGGCCCCCGAGGCCACCAGCCAGGCCTTTGGGCTGGCTCCCTACCCCCCAGCACAGGTAAGAGGGCTCTGGCGTTGGGGGAGGATCACAGCTCTGCCAGGTGGCTGGGATGGATGGAGGAGGTGACACCGTGTCCTTCCCTTTGGTCCCAGGACAAGGGTGTCCTGGGGACACTGGCCCCTGGCACTGGGAAGCTACCCAGCTCAGTGATGGTGCCACCAGCGTTTGGGCAGGACGAGCGGCTCTCCCGGCCCCCCCCAGCAGCCACACCAGCTCCCCTGGACATCAATGGGAGGTGAGTGGGACGAGCAGGGCTGCACCCCAGGGGGGTGTGTGTGTCCCCCAAAGCTCCTGTCTGTACCCTGAATTGATAGGTGTGGGGGGGTGGGACCCCTGGGGTCCTGTTTGGTGTGCTGGGTGCCCCAGAGTGGTGGGGTGGGCCCCCCAGGGTCCTGTGTTTGGTGTGTTGGGACCCCCAGGGTTGTGTGTGTCCCCCCCCGGGGTCCTGTTTGGTGTGTTGGGAATCCCAGGGTTGTGTGTGTGGCGCCCCCAGGGTCTCGTGTCTGGTGGGTGGGGGTCTCGTCGTGCCCCTCCGGTCCCGACGCTGCGGTGTCTTGCAGGGCGGCAGTGGGACCCCCCCAGGCCTTCTACCCCCGCGGGGTCTTCCCAGCACCATCCCCGCAGCAGCACCTCTGGCAGCAGCAGCAGCAGCA